GGAGGCGGCGGCGGCGCCTTGTGCCGCGCGGGCCGGGGCGCGTTTTAAACGCGCGCACTTGTTCGTGCCGTCCGCTTTATGCTCCAGCACCGCAGTGTGAAGGAAAGAGAAGTTTTGGCACTGAAAACATGACAAAACATTTTAAAAAGTTTTTTTTTTATTGGAATGGAAAAGCCTATTAAAATTCCTCTGTGTGGAAGAGGATTATCCTGTTTACAGGAAGGACTTAATCCTCTAACTTTTTTAAGCATAGTGCCTAAGAATAGCTCGAAGGATCCCTTCCAGTGTAATCTTTTTCTTTTAAAGCTTTCTTTAACTTTTTCAAACTAAAACAATACTTAAACAATGTGCTCACTTGCCCCAAAGTGCAAGCTGATAAAACACTATTTAGAATGAAAGTCATGCGGAATGCTTTCAATTTCCACAAGTCCTTGTGAAATAATAGGAGAAAATTTTTATGCAAAAGATAGCAGATGGCTTATTACCAGACTAGAGCCAGAAATGAGAGGCAGACAAGTTTGTTTTAAAAAAAATGTGGGTTTTTTTCTTAAGCTACATGTAGTAATCAAGGCAAAATTACGATTCCAAAAAGGTTGTACTTTTACTAACTCCTTTTTTTGTCTTATTTCCTGCTATAATATCCCGACTGCAGGGATAGACCATTAAGAAATTCACGTGCTTTAGATAAAAACCCTTAGGATAAAAATTATGATGTAATAAGATTATTCCATATAACTTTGCATTCAAGTCTATACATATGTTTATCTATTTGATATTACTGTATCACCCATTGAATTTAGGCAAATTAAGTGATATTATGAACTTTGTTCCTTTTTTTCCTAACAGTCTGAAAAATCTGACAAAAATCTCTTCTGGGGTGGATTTAATTTGGATTCAAACGCTGTCAAAGAGCAGACCTTCTCTGCAGATGGGGATCATGATGAGTGGATAGACTTCTCCAAAATGTGCAGTTCAAACCAAGAATATTACTTGAAGCTGGAAGAACTGAAGAATGCCCACATGGAGACCATGGCAAAATTAGAAAGTATGTGTAAGAGTAGGCTACACTTAAAAGGAGTACAATCCTTGGGCAAAACAGATGCTTCTAATATATGTTATAGGTAAGTTTCTTCACAATCTGCAGTTTGCTACTGCTTTCTAGTCTAGTGTAGCATGCAAGGGCTTTGCAGACATCACAAGTAGGACTTTTTTTTTTTTCTGAAGATGGCAAGTTACTGTCACCATTTCCTATAAGCACATAAAATCCTTGCTAATGAACAACTGTGAGATTTACAGTGTATTTGAAGCTGAAACCAGGCAACTTGTTTAGCATGGTGCCTTTCTTTAATAAATGCTGATTTGTTCATAATCTAAATTTCTTTTAAAGTATGATCTTTTGTGAATGCCCCATCCCCTTCTCTTTTCCTTTGCTTCTTTCCGCTTCCCCATCAGCTCTGTCCATTTTGTTTTCATGATGACACTGGCAGTGGAAATCACTGGCTTTGCATGAGTGTCTGTTGGATTTGACTCAAAACATTTTTTTTTTTAAACAGGTCAACTTGGAAGAAGAGCTTGTATCAGCCTCTAATTTTGCACAGATCCTTTTCTGAATCTGACTTAAATGATCCCATAAGTTCAAATATATCTGGTGAGTTTGACAGAGAATTAATGTTTGAAGAAAATGGTAGTGAAACTGAAACATCAGCGTTTGCCAAGCAACAGATTGAAAATATGTGGGATGGGTTTTCTGTGGAAGACTATGTCCCCCACACCAAGCATAGCCTACCAAGCTCACCAGTGCTGAGAGTGTTGAGGAAGAAGCAGAAGACATGGTCCCCAAAAGTCACCGTGCCCAAGCCTTTCCAAATGACTATTAGGGAAGCGAGGAAGAAAGAACAGAATGTCAAATCAAAGTCACAGCTTGAAATGGAAAATAACTTACTGAAGAAGCGACTCGAGGAAGAAGCAGAATGTCAGAAAAAGTTCCGAGCCAACCCAGTGCCAGCATCCGTTTTCCTTCCGCTCTACCGTGAAATTGTGGAGCAAAATGAAGAACGCAGGAAATCTGTGAAAGAGAGAAGCAAGCTTATGCTTTTGGCTTCTCAGAAGCCATTTAAGTTCATTGAAAGAGAGAAGCAAAAGGATGAAATTAAAAAAATGCAATTGAAAGACCTTTTTGTGCCTGAAAAGAAAACAAAACTCTTCAGGGCAAAACCAGTTCCTAAGTGTGTTTACAGTCCAGCTGTTAATGAGAAGTTAAAGGAAGAAGAGCTTTACAGGGAAATAAGGATCAAAATGAGAGCTGAGGAGCTGCTACGTAATTCATCTCTGCCCAGCAGCAGGCTGGCTATTAAAGACGTTGGTAAAAAGAAGAAACACAAATGCCATGAACCAAAGGAAACCGAACACAAACCCAGGATCAAGTCACACGTTCCCGATTTTGAAATACTACACCAACAGTTTCAGAAACGGCTCCTGCAACAAAAACAAGTAAAACACATCACAGTCTGTGAACCTTTCGATCTTCGAACTCCATATATTCCCTCCAACAAAGGGAAGATTTTGAGGGATATTCAAGAGGATGAAGAAAAATTGAAAGAAACTCGCTGGCCATATGCCTCTCCAAGACGTAAGCCTTCAAGAGCAAATTCACTTCGCTCAAGATTTGGAGAATCCAAATCACCCAAAATCACAGAATCCACAAAAAGACGGCTACAAGCCATAAGGTGACCCCCTTACATGGTGCACTGCACTTTGTAAATACTTAAAGAGTGTTTACAAAATAAAGAGTAGACTTTTTTTTTGTACTTCTAGATAAGTAGTTAATTCTTCTTTGCAGTAAATATAAGAGCAATATAACGACATAATTACTATATAGGGTTAAATAACTTAAATAAAAGACTTAATTAGTATTTATGACTTCTACAGAAGCAGTAGGACATTTTTCTCCAAATGTCCATAGGAAATGGACAAATGCCTGCTGTTTCCCAATATATGCCTTAATCATTTAAAATAGGTTGCCCTTTTCCCAACCCTGTTTCCTCCCCCGCTTTTCGTTTTTGAATTTTCTTTGCAGAATTTTCTTTGAAGTCTTGTTCTTGCCTTAAAATGAGTTCAGCCTTAGTTTATTTTTCCACCCAGGAATTCACTTCAGGAAAAGAGAAAACTGGAAGAAGAACAAAAACGGAACAGAACAAAGCAGAAACAAAGAGCGAGAAAACTGCAGAAAATTATAACAACCCGGGCTGAGGCCAATGACCCACATCAGAGTCTAGCTCAGATGTCTAAATCCAAATTAAAAACATTCAGGTATTTTGTTGCATTCCCCCAAATCCCGAACCTCTCACTGTAAGTTGTAGACTAAACATACAACGTAAAATCTGCTGCAGTCTAAGTTTACATAATTACACATTTGATAACATATACATTGTACAAGCAACTAGTTTTTAAAAAAAAAAAAAGGCCAAATTTAGTATTTCCACTGGGAATCTGTTGCCCATTGTAGTGCTTTTAATCTATGTGTTTTCCCTTATATAATTAGAAGTCAGCTAACAAGAGACTCATTTTTTTGCTAAATTGACATACCAACTAGAAAGGAAAATCAGTTTAAAAAAATCAGGAGGAGGAATGAAGCCTAGTTACAAACCATCCTTGCACTTTGGACTGATAGACAGTGGTACAACTTTGGTCCTGTCTTGCTACTCCTCATGTAGGGAATGCTTCACTTCTCTGTCCTGGTGCTTTCCCTCTTGAGAGGAGCAAGAGCAGCAGTAACAGATTCCAACTTTAGCACATATATTAACAGCTAACCAGGATGCTGATGGTCCTCAAGAGGGGTGGGATCTAAAGTTACCCTTAGTAGAGATACAAGCATATGGTTTTAAGTGATTTAGAAGGATTTAAGTGATTTAATAGGAAAAAAAAATCAGAGCCTTCTTAAATATGCTGTAGGGTAGCAGTGAATGGGTTCATCAAGGTCTGAGGAAGCTGCAGCCACGTGTAGAGCTGCTGCTTGACCTTGTGCACATATCTAAGTTAGTATCTCTGTGCCTCGTTCTTATTGGTGCTGGAAGCAGCATTACAAATGAACCTTCAGGGAGCATTTGGAGCCTGTTTGCACTGCAGCACTGTCCTCTGCCTAGGGCACGGTTTTGGGGAGGTGCGAGGGGCACTAACAGCTCTGGCGTTTCAGGCACGGGCAGCCCGTGGGCAGCAGGAGAAGAGGCAGTGCCTGCACCACAGGGCAAAACGTCACCAGGATTTTTTGGGAGATATGCCTAACTATAAGATTCATAGCTTATAGTGGCAACCTTTACATTAATGTATTACATTTTAGGGAAGGTGTTTGGAATATTGTCCAGGGTAGAGGTGGTTCAGAGATCTCTTTAGAGAGAGGCTAGAGGCCAGGGCTGTTTTTGTGGCTGAGAATTTAAAGGTAACAGTGAAGTTTTGCATTCTCTTTTGCTTTATACAGATCTCTTCTTGCTTTAGAGTTAAAATAGAATTAGCTAAGTATAAGTATAGTTAAAATAGAAATAAACCCCCTATTTTCTTAACAGCCTTTTTTTACACTCTGCTGTAATGAGCAAATTTACTGAAATGCTGCAGCACCTTCTGCCAGACAATACTACATACTGTTTTGCCAGTTATTCACCACCAATATTGCTGCAGTGTGACCAGAGATAGAACAAGCACCATAAACAGAAGCACATGGTCTCATGCACTAAAAGCATGAAGTGTAGTGGCCAAGCAATGCACACGAGGGTGTCAGAACACCGCTGCAATGAGCATCTTCCTTGGCCGTGGGACAGACCATGACTGGCCAGGATACCTTGAGGACACCAGGATACCTGCAACCTTCCTCAGGCAGCTGAAGCCAAAGCACAAGGAGGAAGCAGCAACAGTCTTCGAAGTAGCAGGGCTGAAGCAGAGTCCTAGGGAGCAGACGAGCAGTGGGAGAGGTGCGTGGCAAGAGCAGCAGTGGTTTCCATGTGGTTTGCCTGAGCCCAGAGCTCTAGCACAACTAGTTTTGCTCCATACCAACAGGTTAATAGCAAGAACTTGATCAGGCACGTGGAAACGTTTCCATTTGGACAGCGTCTCCTTGGGCACAGGATGACTAGGAGAGATGCAGAAGTGAATTTGAGTTACAGTAGCGAGGTGGAGATTTGAGAGAGACAATAAGAATATTTGCAGGTTTGATTTGAGTTCATTCAGTAGCAAACCACCTTTTGATATTTAGCTTAAGCAGATTTTCTTAGTATTGTGAAGCACTTATGTTTAATTCTTGTCTGCACATGTAATTATGCTATTACACAGCAAGTCTGCTTCCCTAGTGCTGATACATAAAGGCTGGTATAAGGGCTTAAGTTGATAATAGTTATTTCAGCATAGGCTGGGTAATAAGGTATATTAATATAAGTGCTCTTCTAACAGATAATTGGGTTTGTAGAAAGCCTTCTGAGAGAACTTGCAAATGACAGTGATGTTCACTCCTTCAGCCTGATGGAAAATTGCCTCAAAACACTGCAATTTCTGCAAATATTCCAGAAATTGAGAAAATGATAGATGAAAGGAGGAAGGAGACATAGGAGTATAATGTGCCCTACTTATCCCCACACACTTGAACTTACCCTGAAATATCTTTGACTTAGTAATGCCAGAGCTTGGCTGGTGCAGAGGGACCTTGGACCAGGAAGATTTATTAACTGTGCAGCAAACGCAGCCGTGTGACTGCCAGGGCCTGCCCAGAAAGGGAGTCACTTCCAACACGAGCTAATGAGCGGTGAGTCCAGCTCTGCTTCACACAGCAGCGCTCGACACGGCCTCTCCTGCATCTCCCACCACTCCAGCTGCATGAGATTTATTAGCTCAGGTGCAAGCACAGCTGGCTGCATGCCTGTCCGTGGGGCCCGATCAGATGAGCCACCCTACAACTGAGGCATTGAACTGCATCTGCAAGTAAATAGCAAAAAAGTTTAGTGCTATGGTAAAGACAAAAGCCTTAATGGATCCGAATCAAGCCTGCCTACTCAGGGTCCTCCTCACACACCAGGAGGACTACATCCACCTTACCTGGATTATCTAATGCTTACAACCAGCTAAACTATGATTTAAGTTGATGAATCAACAGTTCAGTCATTCCACTATATTGACTGGACCCTGGAAGAGCCAGCTAGGAAAAAAATTAGCAACCCTGCTAAAAAGGTTACACTGTTCAAGTAGCAAAGGATTCTTCTCATTAAGCAGAAACTTATAGTGCTGTTTTTGTTTGTTTTTTGCTTTATGATATCAAATTAATTTCTTATAGTGTATGCTAATTTTAGCAGTCCTTTCATGCTTCAGTTTGCTTAGAACAACTGGAATTTTTGTCAACATATGAATTCAGCATTTAAGGAAAAACTTAAGAATTCTTAAGAATCCAGACTCAAAAAGACCCTTATATTTAACCCCATTAGCAAGGACCTTTCTCTGCAGATGCAAAGTGCCTAGTTCAGAGTTAATTTTGTTCAGCACTTCCAGGCAAGCAACTGCTGTGAAATGAGACAATTTTTCTCAGACTCGGTAACCAACATAAAATAATTTATCTTTTATGTGTTTTTAAGTAGGATGATATTTAGTTTGTCATGAGCAATTAAATCTTAGCTGTTGTAAGAAATTACTTCTGTATTATAAAGTAATAATCAGAATAATGCACTATATTTCTCTTAGGAATTATGAGAAGCAGAGAATGCAAGAGTATTTGCAAGAATTGCAAGAAATGGAAGAACGAGTAGAGCAAAGGCCATTGCTTTTGGAAAGAGCCACTCAGGTTGTCTTGAATTACATCTTAATGTTATCTTCAAATGATGCCTGAAACATTTGTAGTACTAGCCAAATAGACTTGAGAGTAGTAATTGCCCATTTTAATCTCTATTGTCATGTCTCTATAGAAGTACTACTATTATCTGTGGTCAAGCTTTCATGGCTGGCTTGCACAGAGGACTGAGATGGCTCTTGTAAACATGGTCTTTTTTTCTCCCAAAGACTATTCTAGTTATGATGCAGTGTCTTTTTTGTTTTTTAATACTGAGTGTACTTCGATAGTCAACCCTGTAATACTAGGGTTGCAAGAAATTGTAGCTTGTTATCTTCTCTGTTTGACTGCAGTCTTTATTTTTCCAATAGCTCTCTCTTGTTGTAAGCAACTTATAACACAGACTTGAAAATAATTTGTTATATTTTTACTAAATAATTCTATTATTATCAAAATCTCACAGTAAGAACTGGCAGAGAGTACCTACTTAGATTTTTTTTTGTTTACATTAGACAAAAGCTACCAATACGAGCACTGAAATTGCCAGATTTTTTTAATTACTTAAAACTAATTTGTATCTAATTCATATCTCACACCTCTGAATAAAATGTACCTAAACAGCATAAAGACTTGATTTTTTTTTCTGACACATGCCACGCACAAGTCTTTGATGCTGAAGTTGAACTGAATGCTAGTTAATGGCTTGCCCAAGGAAATGAGGAATACTGTTAAATGTAACATGTGAATAGCACTGTCAAGTGTGAGGTTCAGAAAATGTTGCAATAGTCATTTAGTCTTTTAAGAGGCCACCATTGCAAACGCTGGCACAAAAAAAAGACTTCTTTGCATGCTTTTGTCTTGAAGGGAAAACCCCATTCTGTCTGATTCACTTACAATGTGAGTAGTTCTAAATACAGCAAAAATTCAGAGTAAAATCATGAGAGCTGCAAGTTGAGAGAAAAGGTGAAGAGGTACAGGTGAACTCTTTGTGCCTACTAGGAAGTTAGATGGTTTTATCATTTTATATATCTATATACGCTATGTACACTACACACACGATATTGTTCACGTACTCTGTGTGTGTATATAGATTCACACATACACACTATATATATTCACTTTGTATATGTGTGCGTATGTATATATATGTGTGTGCATATGTAAATTGTATGTAAATAATATAGCTTTTAATTAGCCAATGGGGGCAAGAACTAAAGGGGACAAAACCTAATGCAAAGAAGGAAAAATCAGTATAAAATTTTTGAGTATTTTTTGCCTTTCTTATCTGCGGAGAATAATCGTTTAACCTGCTACATGCAATTAAACAGAGCATTAGTTATCTAAACAAAAGTATCAAAAAGCCAGGCATTTAATGCATCTAGGTAATATTTAACCTTTTTTTTTTTTTCTTCCTACAGATAAATGCAAGAATAGCTGCAGAGAAGCATTATGCTAACACCCTGAGAGAACTCGGAATATGCACAGAGTTTGTTTCAAGGAAAGGACAAGCATCAAGTTTGATAGAACACCCCAATCCTGGAGATTTTAAAATCTTGACTAGTTTTAAAAAAAGGTAGGGATTACCAAAGACTTTTCCTTTCCTTTTTTTTTTTTTTTTTTTTTTTTGCCATTGCATACCTAATAATTAGCTTCATCAAAAAACATTAAAAATAGCTTTCTGTGTTATTTCCCGTATAACTAACTATAGGTTAACATTACTTTTTTTTTTCCTGAGTATTATTTAATAAGACAGAGGAGTTCACTGTAATAAACTTCAAAAGAAAATGAAGACAAATAGTTTTGATACTTTTTTTTTTTTTTTTTCCTAAAAAAGTTTGGCAGCTCACTGTTAAGTCTTGGTTCATTCTGCATTACCTTTGCTGCATTTTTAAAATATGCCTTTAAAAAAAAACTTTTTTTTTCCCCAACATTATACTATAGAAAGAAATAGAAGTGGGGAAAATGGAAATACATGAGCAATGATTATTAGAAGTACTTAGTAGCATAAAAAGATAATCTAGTGCTCCCCCTTGCGTTTCCTCCCCCAGTGTTACCCCATCTTAGTCTATCAGGATTTATCCTAGATTACACAAAAGTAGTATTCCTTTAAAAGTTACCAGGAAGAAAAAAAATCTCACCTAGAAAAAGAAATCTTAAGTACAAATTATCTTTTCAGAATCACCAAAGATTTGGCCAGAGAAAGCAAATCCCCTGAGGAAGCAGCAGCCAGCAGTCCCCAGTCTGAGCAGTCCTGCACCGAGGAGGAGGAAGGGAAGAGAAAAGCGGTCAGAGCCTCCACCCAGGATGACCACTGCAGTGAGGAGGAGGAGGCAAGAGGCAGCCTTCATGCTCACCAGCTTTGCCATGACGGGGAGGCCAGCACCAGCCCCAGCTCTGACCAGATTTCCCGAGAGGAGGAGGAGGAGGACAAGGAGGAGGACGAGGAGGAGGAGGAGCATGGGGAAAGATCCAGCTCTCAGTCTGACCATCCTGGTGAACAGGAAGAGGGTCAGTCTGATCCTGAGGCTCAGGATGCCTTCAGGTATGATGATGATGAGTATGAAAATGATGATTCAGAAGAGAAAGCCAGTGATGATGAAGGTGACTGAAAGGAAGATAGGAAGGCTGAGGCTCAAACACACATTTCATTGCTGGCAGTGAAATAGATAGCAAAGGAAAACATGGGTTTCTGATAACAATACAAAGTTTTGAGAATTTAAAGTGCTTGACCTACAGTCTTTCCTGGACAGAACTGTAAGAAAGATCAAGTTTTACATTTCCATCAAGAAATTTCCTTGGTTACCTTTATATTTACCTTTTTTATTCTAGAGTTTCATGACATTAGTGTACCTCCATCTATAACTGAACAGCAGACACTGTTTACAAATAATGTCTTGCATACTGTGACAGTAAGTACTAAGGTTTTAACATGTCCAGCTTTTTCTGTATGCTGGCAAAGCCAGATGAGATATTAATTGAATAATTTGCAACCCCTTTTCAAGCATTTCAGTATTTCTATGATCTGTTCCTGTAATATATCCTACTATAGCAACAAACTGACAGGAGGATTTCACATGCAAGACCTCTTGAGTGTTATTGGAGAGTTGGCATAAGGAGGACAACTTGTGTAGGCAGAAGAAATGACTGAATTAGTCTATTTGCTTCTTCCCTCTACTTCCAGTACATGGGGTTCATCTTCTGCCTGTTTAAATCAGATAAACATGCTGACGGGTCAGAAGAGTGCCAGCACCAGAAAAGCAGAGGGAGCACAGCTTTTCCAGGGAGGAGGCTGTTAGATCTACTAGACTACTTCGTCTAGCTAAAATATTAACAGGATCTCAGGTGCTAAGGACTGTCCCTATAGAATAGAAATAAAATGTCCAGAATAGTCTGAGTCCCTTAATTAAACTTCCACAGACTTTCTTAATGCTTAGAAATGAATGCAGTAGGAAAAGTGAGTAGAACTTATTCTTAAGAAAAGAAGATACACTACATGCTGCAGATTCTATATTAGCGTCTATCTGTCACCAAAACTGGGGATGAACCTCTTAACAGCAATGTAGCATTAAGAAGACAGCATTCTCTTTACTGCAGTGCAGGATGCTCAGGGGATCACTCTACCACCTATCATGCACCCCATGTGTTGCGTTAGCCACAGCTTGTATCTCGTTGTTACATACATAGGTATTGAATTTCCCAGAGTGATCATACATAATCATTCTGTTTCCTGGAACTAATCACAGCACCCTCACACGCAAGTGCCCTGGGGGTCTTTTGGGACCCTTGGTGCTCATCTTTGTATCCTTTTGATGAACTTTTGCAGCTTCCTTCCAGCAGTCCAGTTTTGGCTTGGGGTGCTCTGTTTGGCCTCATCATTCAGTTTTGACCAGCTTCAGGCAGTTCCTTCAAGTTACAGCATTGCTTAACAACTGGTGTTTGCTGTTTTGGCTATGCTCATTCAGAATGTACCAGTAGCAGCTACAGAAATCAGGTCCTGGGTGCATGCTTGGCTGAAGCCCCTTAGAACATAACCAAGCTCCAAAATTGTGTTTTAACACCAATTGGTTTTCAAGAGCAATTCGTATGGTCATGTAAAATAATTATTTATAATGTAATGACAAATACTGACATTAATTTTCAAATTTCTTTGAGACAGTAAACAGATACTGTAAAAATAGAAATTATTACATCAGGATAAAGGTGCAACCAGCAACTGTAGATATCTGCATAAAAGTATGGTAAGGAAGGGTTTTATTTTTCTTCACCTGCTACTCAGAACCGCAGCTACCACACAGCAGCAACAAAAAGGAAAAGCAAACAGAGGTTTTTTTCAGCCCTGTTCTTTGCTTTCCTGCTAACCAGGTCACATCCAATACTAGGACAGAAAATAAAACTATATATATATATATAAACAGACAGCTATCAAGGATTTCAGACAAGTTTTGTGGGCTTAGTAGAGAACAGACTAAAATGTTACATTACACAGGGTCTCAAAATACACACACACTGAAATAGTAGAAAACACTGTTTCTTGTTAAAACTACGAAGTTTGCAAAGGCATCTGAAATGACTAACAATGGGGATTTCTTGTAATCTTCTACATCATATGGAAGAACACCAACTACATCAGCTACTATTCATGTTCCTCCAGACTTCGAGTAATTGTGCACTACTGCTTGGGAGTTTTATCATTATTTTTATTTATTTCTGAAGTGTGGAATGATTAATACCAATTTCAAACTCTGATTTTGTATTTAAATAAAATATCCCTTTTATATGTATCATGCATGAAAATAATGATCATTACCCCACAGTAAAAGCCATCATTTACCCTCTCCAGTTTCACCCCACAAGGCCACCACACAGCCTCATGGCTGGACAGCTCTTCAGCAGTACAGAAGGTGAGAGTGTGCTAGTGCATTCACAGCCACATACAACTACTACTTATCTCTTTAGTAAACCTTCTTATTTGAAGGAAGGCAGAGCAGAGGCTACTTGAGGGATTTTCAAATGTATTAAGTTCAGATAGCACTCAAGCATGTGCTCTAAAAGAGCACATATATAATTTATATAGTCGTTGGACCTCTTAAGGTAGGGAGTAATAACCATTACTTTAAAACTGTAGTCTTTGTAGAAGGAGAGACAGCAATAAATACAAGGATATCTTAAAAAAAAAAAAAAAAAAAAAAGTCCTGAGAGAGGACTTGAGGACCTATGTAGAATTTAGATTTACCTTTTCAATGATTGTTACCATATTTCCTTAATAATGAGCAGTATTAAAGAACATAGGTAAATGTGATAACAAAGATGTGTCAATGCATCTTTTGATGCATACAGACACCATGTTCTCATGAGATGACGGGTAGACTGGCCTTAAAACTAAGTAATTATTTGACCTTCTTTTTCATCAACAGTATGATTTTAAATGCAGGCAAAACAGCAAGAACTTAATAGGACTGAAATGAACATGACTATATTTTTAAAAAAGGAAAAAATCCAGTAACCCTAAAATGAAAATCCCAATACACCTGAAAAGCTTTGGTAAATTACCAAGAGGCAGAGTAAGACCACAGGAGAGATGACTAGAATACATCATACTTTCCTGTTTGCTCAAGACTATTTGATGCAGTTAATATGGAAAAGCAAATCATTCGATCACAAAAGAATGTTTGGTTAGAAGCATTTTAAAGGAAGAAGCTCATTAGAATGGAACTGATAAGTTATGGTTTCAGGAAAGCCCCTTATGAAGGGGGAAGATTAATAGGAAAGTTTCTCACAGATTATTTAATTTTATGACTGTAATATGATAATTAATAGCAAAAAAAAAGAAATATGATCTAGAAATTTGCAAAAATATATCTTTTCAGATGGGGAAGTTAGTATGAAAAGAAAGAGTTCATATACAAGTGCTGCCTGAACACTTGTTCCAAAAACAACACATCCAACTTTAAAAAACAGACTCCAAAGCACAAGACCTGGCTGGACTCCAGCCCTGCTGTGGGAGCAAGAAGAGATGCTACTGCAGACACCATGTCCTCTGCTTTGCCTAGTTAACATCCCTTCTTTAAGGGGTGCTTCCATATTTCAGTTGCTGTCTTCTAAATTTACCCCGCTTTTCCCAAGTGTTCTTCATCCACACAGCACCACTTCTTCCAGAAACCGTCTTCTTATGTACGTGATGAGCATAACATCAAGCAGGAGGTTATATTCTCTTTCCCTTTGAGGAAAAGAATATTACACTGTTAGCATAAATGTCTGAATTAAACACAATGTACCAGTTTTTCCTAACACAGGAGAGAAAAAAAAAAAAGAAGACATTTTGAAAAAAAAAAAGAAAAAGAAAAAGTTTTGAAGTGATTAAATTGTCTCATTTGCTCATTTAGATTTCTTAGGCTTTCAGAATGGCAGGAAGTAAAACAATTTGCCCAGCTGAGTTTGAATTGAAATGTCATGAACATTGAAACATGACATTGAAATGTCATTGAAAATGCCAGTCTTCCGTCTCTGTTTTTTTTTAATCTTTTGCTAATCTCTTGGTTTAGGGCAGAAATAGGTTGTTGGAAACTCCAGCTGCAGTCAAAATCATTTCCTCCTTCAATACAAAGTTTAGGTCTTTGAGGAATATCAGATCAGAACCAAGACTTATAATAGCATCCAAAAAATCCCCTTCCTAATGTGTACCAAAAAAGACAAGCAAATAGATGAAAAAGCAGAGAAATAATGGATTACATGAATAAGGCAAACTGCACACATACAAAGTTGCAGGACCTGATGTACTGTTTTAGATGCTAGTTTTGCATTATGGAATAACAGCATTAAAGCAGCCGTGCGCTAAGTGTGCACAAACACTCAGAGATAAAGCTCCAACTCCAGGGCTATTCTTGGAGAACATATCTGCGTACCTCAGAGGAAGCACATGATGTTTAATCAGAGAGGTAAATCCTTGCATAGACAGCTGAGCAAATACAAGAGTTTGCTTGTGCCCACAGCAGGAGTCCCTCCTCTCTCCTCGCATCCTTCCTTTTTATCCATGTTTTTCAGATTCCACAGTGAGTCACTAAAGTCCCTAAAACAGCCCTGCCAAAAGCAGGGTGTGAAGTTAGGAGACAAGAGGAACAAGCAGGACTTCACCCTTTCAGTGGGGGCCAGTTGCATTACTCAATCCTAATATTTCAGGATTAGCCATAGGATTAGCCATAGGAAAAAGCCACCCACATGTGTAGATGCCTGCAGATATACAGGGAAAACAGATGTTTATGGGCTCCCTCCGAAGCAAGAGATGTTGTTCTTTTTGATAATTAGGATGGTAAACAAGACTACGTTTTATTTAGTGCACACAAATAGCACCACAGACACTAGTGGATTCACTGAAGTCAACAGCACCAAAGTCAGGCATATTTGCATTTGTTCAGCTCAAAGCCTGCTGCTAACAGCTAGGACTACCAAGGGGGACAGCACGGAGATCACCAGCACCGGGCAGCAGGCAGGTTGGCAACAAGCCGGCTGGTGGCACAGGCTGCTGAGCAACAGGCAGCAGGAGGTTACCACAACGTGCCAACGCCACCGAGGAAGTGCTCGTCACCAGCTTTATGAGATGCTACAGGCCACCCCCTTACCAAACGATTCAAATCATTGCTCTGTTTTCAAACACAGGCCTCCACATTTCCAGCTGTGCATCTTTC